TCCTTCTAGCCTGTCAAGCTGGGTTAGAGATTCCTTGTCCCTGAATCTATAGCATCCTAAACCTCTGGTATCTTAGCCCTGCACATACTTTTTTTGTATGTGGAATCACGGTTTATCCACCCTGAATTTACTAGAGAATGCTCTGCCTGGAGCTTCGACGATACCTATGCCCTAGCCCTACCCTAGTTCAAGTCCATCCGATGCTTGGGTGGGGAATGGGGGGACTGTCCATCTGTCTACCTCTGTATCTCACTCTCCTTAATCTCTTCAAGTAAGTTTGAGATGCAGCTAGGCTTGAGAACCACTGAGTTATACCATTAATGTTCCATTTAGATCTAGCATTCTGTAATTCTAACCCAAGATTTGGTAGGGTTGGCTCCTCCTCTTTCTTCTGTTCTCCTTCCCTCTCTCTTTCTGGCCTTTAGAGAAGTCAAAATCTTAGTTCTATTAAAAAATCAGTGCAAAACAGCTTAGTTTTAATTCTAATTTACCTTAGGTGCTTTGGAACGAACTCAGTGACGCTGAGATGATGGGAGTTGTTCAAGAATGAGTTACTTTGTGTGTTGCCTCCTTATACTAGCTCAGCCCAGCCTCTGCTGGTCTGGGGCCCAGCTCTGGAGCTGTGCCTGTGGGCCCTTTCTAATTATGTCTCCACAGCACGGCCAGTCAGGCCTACAGTGAGCAGAGTCATTCAAGGCACTTCCTGTAATGTTTCAAACTGTTGCGTTGTTGACATTCAGTGCATGTGTTTGTCATTGACACATAGGCTCTCATTTCAGCTGGAAAGCCTTGCCTTTCATGTAGAAGCTGTTTAAAGGAAATGTTCCTACTTATCTCAAAGCCAGAGAGAGTGGATAGGAGGGAGGACTTTGTTTGCCCATATCTTCAAACACACTGCATTTTGGGGATGCCAACAGGACTGTTTTAATTTGCTCCCCACAAAGGCAGACTTCTGCTGCTTTTCCTGAGATCCTGGCAGAAGAGTGTTTGTCTTTAATGTCACCATACGAGAGAGTGCAGCTGTGTTTATGGTGGGAGTTACCTGTAATTTATGTTCTAACTTAAATGTTTAAGATTAGCTGTTTCCTTTCATTTAAAGACCTGAAATAGTTTTCTCTTTTTTCTTCTCTTTTCTTCCTTTCTCTTTTCTTTTCTTTTCTTTCTTAAGCTCAACACTCCTACAAATTTTTAACGACCAGGAAGGTGGTTAGAAGATCAGGACTTCTGTTCTCTGGTACCGAGTTGGAATTGTTAAAATGGTAGCATTTCAGAATGTAAACATATACTTAGTTTCCAATCTAGGAAAACATAAGCAAATGAGGCAAAGCTAACCAAACTGGCTATCTAAATGAGGGCAGGACTTTTCTTAGGAGGTTTATGAGACCCAAGCTGATCATATCCTAGGTCTCTCTTCTCACTTACTGTTTTGTTATGGGTCAGATCACAGTAAATCTTATTATCCTGAAAACTTGACTTCCAAGGATGTGAGGGGAAAGTGAGCTGGGTCAACACCACTCAGGTTTTGGGACTGGGAAGACGGGGGCAGTACGGGTGATTGTGGACTGATCGACTATAATGGAGCCCCGAAGTTCTGTTTTATAAGCATGAGCAGATTCCTCCCCTCATCCCACCCAGTGAAATATGTTTTTTTTCTCATCTGGGAACTAGAAAGGAAAACTAGTTCCTTCTCCAAATGCGAATGGAATGTGGAGCCCTTTGTTCATTTACCTTTTAGGACCTTTTCTCTAAAACTAACCTTCCATTGAAGAGTTTACCAGAGTCGCCAATGAAAATTAAAATGTAGCATCATTTTTACTCATCAATTCAGCAAGCATTTATTGAGTACCTGCTTTATGTGGGCATTGCGTAAGGAATAGAAAGATGAGGGTGGGCTACGTCGATACAAATACATTTAACAAATTATGATCAATGCTTTAATAAGTCATCTAGCTGCTGGTTAAATAGTCAGTTGCTGTTGGTTACAGAGATCCAAAAAGACAAAATACTTTGAGATCTAGATTTAGTGTGTTTGTGATAGTTTCTTGGTCTAGGAGTCTTGAGGCCATTTGACAAAAGTCAAAGAGGTTAATCTGGCCTGACTCCTTTTTGTTAACCTATTCACAATAGTGATGCTATTTTCTTTTCAAGATTTTATTTATTAGAGAGAGTGTGTGAGCAGGGGGAGGGGCAGAGGAGAGGGAGAGGAGAATCTCAAGCAGACTCCTCGGTGAGTGCAGAGCTCCACTCGGGACTGGATCTCACCACCCTGAGATCATGACCTGAGCCAGAACCAAGAGCCAGATGCTTAACTGCCTGAGCCACCCAGGTGCCCCGTGATGCTATTTTCTTTAATAAAATTTTCCAAATTCTCAGTGATAGTCAATTCTAGAATTTTCCTGGCACTGATTGTCGATTTCACTGCTTTGTACTTCTTAAAATTTTTTCTGAATATTGTTTGATCATTTATATTTTTCCAACTTTCCTCTATAGGCAGCACTGTCCATAGGGAATGGAGAGTCAGTAATTACTATTTTATAACGAAGCCATCAGCAGTATGGGGACTCACAGCCCTGCTTTAGCCTGGTCAAAGTCAATAGGACCATTGGGTTTCTGAGCATGCACAGAAGTGCACTTTGTCCACACGCTCCACACGAAAAAGTTCCAGAATTGCTAGACAAGTTCCCCTTGGCCACTTAGCTCCAACCACAGTGCCTTTCTAGGTTCTAGAAGCTTATTCTGAATTTGTTTCAAAGTTATTATAAAGATCTCTTACACAACTTTTTGATAAGTCTAAAATTATTTCAAAATAAAAAGTTCAAAATTTATTCAACTACTCACTGTTGGACATTTAGGTTGTTTCTAAATATTTTTTAAAAAATAACTTTAGTGAATATCTTTGTCATGAATTTTTGTGTATATCCCTGTTAATTTCCTTATAATACATTCCTAGAAGTGAAAATGTTGGTTCCCAGTGTATGCATATTTTGATGCCTATTAAATTATTCTGTGAAGTTTCCCTTAATATGACCATTAGCTATTATAATTCTTAAAGTATTTTTCAATTTGATAGAAAACAATGGTACTTCACTGTTTTAATTTACATTTCTTCTGGTACTGAGGTGAATCCTAATCTTATGTTTATTACACATTTGTACTTTTTTTTGTGTGTGTAAAGGACCTGTTCATGACTTCTACATGTTTTACTTTTGGTAGTATTCCCATTTATCATAGTGATTTGTATGAAGTCATTGATGTAGTTCCAACTTGTGCCCTAATGTGGAGAATGTCTTTCAGTTGACAACCTTGGAGATTTTATGTTTGATATGTTAAGAGAGTGTGAGACTTTTGTCTTTAAAAACAAAAAATAAACATCTTCTCTTCAAGAATTGAAAGAATAACAATATATGAGCAACAGCACCCAAGTAACATCCAAAATTGACTTTCTCCACTGGTCATCACACTTTATGCTTAGATTTTGCTGAAGCACTTCACCCTTTTTGATCAGAAGGAGAGTTTCTGGTCCATACTGGTCTCTCAAGGAGTGACAGAGCATGAGAATGAAACATACAATCTATAATCTCCCAGCTCATGTCTCCTTTAGTGCAAAATCCAACACAGTACTCTTCTCTTTTGCCAAGCACCACCCCCCCTTCTTTCACCTGTGGTTTTCTGGGAATTCAAATAAGACCTGTCATCTTGCTTCCTATCAGTCCTCCTCATGGATGGATACTTCCTGTGGTTCAGGCCTCTTTTTATCCCTGAATCTGTTCTCTTTTTTAGAGAGAGAGCGAGCGCACGCACGTGCATGAGTTTGGGGGGTGGGTGGGGGTGGGGTTGGGGAGGGCAGAGGGAGAGGGAGAGAGAGAATCTTAAACAGGCTCCACACCCAGCACGGAACCCAACTTGGGGCTTGATCTCACAAACCTGAGATCATGAGCTGAGGCAAAACCAAGAGTCAGACGTTTAACTGACTGAGCCACCCAGGCGCCCCTCCCTGAATCTTTTCTTTAAGAACTCTGTCGTTTTCCTCGCCTTCAGTTAGTTTTTCCAGAAAGTCTCCTCTGCTCCTAGCCTGACTTATCCTCTTAGAAAGTTCCCACATATTCTTAGGACTTAAACTAAAGGCTCAACTGGAGGCATGATGAGAGGTGATTTGATTGTCAGGGGGCACACGGGTATGGTACTCATAAGTTTAAAGTCCCTTATAAATAGAAGTGTGACTTACAGCCCATAGTTAAGCAGCTGATTTTGTTATTTTTGATGTTTCTATCATACTCTAGCTATAATCTATTTTTTCCTGTGAGAAGTTGGAGGACATGTTTCCTGACTCCCATCCCTTTCAGTGTGAATTCTTCTCTTGCTTCCTGGGCAGGTCCCCAGTCTCTAGTGGGCTTCTAGAACATTGTGTACGTGTCTCTCTTAAAATACTCCCTTGTTGCCTTGACGGTTCTCCCTTTATACGTTTCTGCCCCACCTATTATAACATAAACCTTGTCAGAGCTTATCCTGTGTCATTTTTATGTTTTCCTCAACCCAAACGGTGCTTGATAAATGGAATGTCTTTTTTTTTTTTTAAAGGTTTTATTTATTTGACAGAGAGAAAGACAGCCAGAGAGGGAACACAAGCAGGGGGAGCAGGAGAGGGAGAAGCAGGCTTCCCAAGGAGCAGGGAGCCCATGCGGGTCTCGATCCCAAGACCCTGGGATCATGAGCTGAGCTGAAGGCAGACGCTTAACGACTGTGCCACCCAGGCGCCCCTGGAATGTCTTTGATAAAAGTTTAGCATTGTTAGCAATATGTCCATCTTTGTAGAAATTATATTTGTAGCGTGTAGCAATTGAGAAGTGTGGATTTTATTTTATATCCAATAGTTAACCACGTAATACATATATATATTATAAACTAGGAAATGCTGTTAAATAAAAAGAAAAGGAAAGTCTTCTGTAATCATACTGTCTAGAGATTACTACTGTTAATGTTTGGTCATCTATCCCCCCCAGAATTTGAAGAAGAAGAAGGGAGGAGAAGGAAGAAGGAGAAGGTGAAGGAAGAGGGAGGAAGAGGAGGAGAAGGAGAAGATTTATTGAGTATTTACTGTGTGCTAAGTATTACATAGATTTTCTCACTCAGGCCACCTGTTAACCATATGTGATAGGTCACCTACTGTTTTCTGCATTTCAGAATGGAAGATGCAAAGGCTTAGGGAGGTTAAAGAACTTGCTCAAGATCACGTGACTGACAAATAGCTTAGTCTGGATTTGAACTCCCACGGTGTGAGCCTAAGCAAACGTGAGTCAAAACAGCATATTGATCAAAGTGCACATCTCTAGAGCTGAACTTCCTGGGTTTAAATCTCCGTTCCTTCACTAACAAGCTGTGTGATTTTAGGCAAGCTAATTAATCTCTCATCAATTCCCATTCTCTCATTTTAAAAATGGAGTTAAGATGATATTAGCCCTAAACTTGGCACAAAGTTGGAATGAGGATAAGAGAAAATAATTTATGTGACGTATTTATAGCACGGCTACCTATAGTAAAATTTGAATAATTTTTTTTGTAACCAAAACTTTAAGTCCAAGTATTCTCACAAATAATTAACTCTTATATTGCTATAAATTAAATAAAAATTACCACGCTGTAACCCTCTTTGTTATCTGCCTACTTCACTTACTATACTATGAATGTCATTTTAGTTAATAGTACCACGTCATTCATAGGACCATACAGTATTCTACTCTTTGAATACACTGTAATCTATGTAACCAGTTTCCTGTTCCTCTAGGATGGGAACTTCATGAGATGGGGACTGTTCCAAGTTCAGTCCTGGAAGGTGCACAAGGTAGGTGCTCAATAAATATTTATTGAGTGAATGAATGAATATTATTGAAGTTGCTTTCAATTTTTCACTGTTAATAATATTAAAAAATTCTTTACTTCTAGGAGCTTTTGATGTTTCAATATTTTCTTGTGTAGTAATACACAACCTTCCAGTCATTGCTTAAGAATCAAAATGTAATTCCTACACTGATGTAGAAACATGTTGTGTCTAAGGGTACCCATTTGGTTTAAGAGAAAAAATGCTGCGGAAGTAAAGATGCATGGTTATGTTTAAAATAATAACTTTAAAAAGTCTCTTTCATGAGATGGTTTTCAAAGAGTGTTTACCATGTGGGTAAATTTTAACAAAAATTGCTCCAATTAGCTCCAAGTACAATGACATGCATAATGCTTTGATTACACATATGAAATTCATTTAGTCAAGAGACTTTGAGTAGGAAAAATGCAACTTTGTAAGAAAAAAAATCCCCATTACTATAATGATAAAATAACACCCCCTCCAAGATCTAATCACGTACACATTTAGAAGAAAGCGTTTTATATCCTCTATAACAGTAACATCTGGTGACTCTCGGACTGTTCCAAAGCAGCTCTACTCTGCTTTCACAATTCCATTTTGTGTTATACAAATCAGTAAAGTTGCCTGCAGAGATTTAGGGAACTTGGAAAAATTTCAATCTCACTTAAAAGATGTGCTACTATTTCTCAATACCTTGAGCTTGGGTGGAGTGTAGTAATGAGCCAGATGAATGAGGCAAGGAGAGCCACTTCACGGATTGTTATGATGTAGTTAACACCTTGGAGAATTTCTTCGAGGAGGTGATGAGACTGGCCAACAGAACTTACTGAGTAGAAGGAAAATAAATAGACTCTGACTAGCTTGAGGAACAGAGGTAGCAAAGGGAGGAAATCTAGAATCCAGCCCAGGGTGTACTCTTGGTGGAGAATGCTTCGTAATTATGTTTTTTGATGGCTTGAACTTAATTTTATTTCTTGGCATTGAACTGAAGTGTAAACCATGCAGTCTAGTTTGCTTCCTCAGATAGTATTCAAGTTGCTTCAGACTTGGTCAGTTTGTCGTTCATTTTGATTTTGTTCAGTGTGAAAGTGATGGTCTCTAGCTCCCTGCAAGCTCCCTGAATCATAGTTTGTCCGAACAGCTACTGTCATATCAGTTGGAGCCAAGACTCTGAAAACTTAATAAGAGACATTGGAGACCTGTGAACAATGGCTAAGCAGTTAACTAGCCATTGTAGAAGGAAGTAATCCAATGATATTTTGGCCTAAAGTTCACTTACACCTAACCGAATAGCAGAGTGTGAAGGGAAAATAATCTTACTAGGGTTTCCTTCCCTCAGCTTTGCTTTTTATTTGTTTGCTTCTCAGTTTTTCCTCCTGTTCTCTCCTTCTGATACTTTCTCTTTTTTTCTCCCCTTTAAACATGTTTCTCCTTAAAAAAATAAAAAAAAATAAACATGTTTCTCCTTTATTCTTATATTCTCCTTCCTCCCTCCTCCCCGCTGCTGCCCCCTTGCCTCTCTCTCATTATTTCCCCTTTCTTCACCCACCCCTCCACCAATTTTTTAAGTGCCCATGGAGCTAAATTAGTGAAATAGTTTTATTGTTTGAAATTTTTAAAATAGTTTGAGGATAACGTTTATTTTTCCAAGGAAAAAATTATGCTCGACTTTTTCTGTTTTGTTTTTGTATTTTAGAAAGAGTGCATGAGTGGAGTGGGAGTGGGGGTGGGTGGGGACGGGGGCAGGGGAGGGGCAGAAGGAGAGGGAGACAGAGAATCTCAAGGTTCCATGCTCAGCGCAGAGCCTGACACAGGGCTCGATCTCATGACCCTGAGAATATGACCTGGTTGAGCTGGAGGCTCAACCAACTGAGCCACCCAGGCACCCTTCACTTTTTCTGATCTTAGTTTTATTACCTAATTTAAAGCACTTGAATAAAGTCAAGCACAGAAATATCAGTACATTAAATCTTAGCAATTAGTATACTCTTGATTCCCTTTGGATCAGTTGACCTTGAAAGAAAAAAGATTTCCTGTGTTTTCTCTGAACAACTTAAGATGGATGGTTGCTGTTACCCTTATAAGTGCTCTTAAAGATGGGAGTATCCACCCATTTCCCAGTTCCCTATTTCAGTGGGTCATGATCAACTTGTCTACCCCCATTTTTTTTTTTCAGTGCACTTTACGCTCATATTCTTTTGTTTGAGCCTTAGTGGAAAGAACAAATGGACAATGTCCTCCTTAAAGTAATGGTTCAAGTTCTAAAAAATGGCTCTTAGGCCACCTTTGAAGGTGGACCAAAAATCCAAAGGTGGACCTATTTTTATAGCGTAGTTTGTGGACAGAACTTGGGCTTTGGAGCCTGACACTTGGGTCCCTGGGCAAGGCATTTACACCCTCTCAGCATCTGATTCCTCCGTTATTAGAAAACATTCAGAGGACTGTTGTGAGAATTAAAAGAATTTAAACCGGCAGAAGACAGCATAGTGCCCCCATGTGGAGAGATTCTGATAAATGGCAGCATAAACCCTAGGAACCCCCCTGTAAAAGGTTCTTTCCATAGGAATGCTACTGATTCCCTTTCCTACCTCTCCATGACCCATAAATAATGAATGTGATCTGGGAATATTAAAATCGGAGTGATCAAAGAGCATTAGGTATTGAGAGAAAGGGAGAAACAGACAGTTGGCCTACTTACCTTGTGCCTCTTTGGTAGCTGTGTGACTAAACTTGGAGCTTCCTAATGTAGAGGTAGGAGAAATAGTGGACCTATCATTTGCTGAATTAACTTTTTTCAAACACATTGTGGAAGAGGGCCTGCCCCTCCTCCACCCCCCATAGGCATTGCACAAGTATCTGGTTGGTGGGGAAGCCGAGCAAATGTGATAAACTCTCTCACTCAAATGTAAGAGTTACACAAGACAATGTCTTGTGTGTTTATATGTTTGTGTGTGTGGACATGTGTTTGTCGGAAGATAATCGAATCAAATCCTTCTCTTAGCCATACTTGAAATGCTTCTAAGACTTAAAAAAAAAAAAATCTCAGTTACATGTTCTTGGGTACTTTCTCCAAATTAACCTTAAAATGCTGAGACCAAAATCAATCCAGTCAGGAAAATGTTATTATGAAAATTTATATTGGCCACGCTCTGAAGGTTTCAATAGCTCTTAATTGCAGGTCAGTGTTCACTGTGAGCTGGGTTGCCAACAGTTTCATGGTGACATCATGAGTAGTTAAAGTGGTCAGGCTTGCAAGTGATTTACTTTCTAACCAAATAAATGAGAATGAATTCAAAAATTTCTCTACAGTGACATCACTTTTACTTGCTTTTATTATGCTTCCCTGGGTAAAGAATGGAGAGTGGCATTATGGCTGGCAGGTTGGAATTTTCCCTGTCCAAGATGTGAACATTATTGGTCACGACTCTTGTGAACAGTTTATATGAAGATAAAACTGGCAGAAAATGGGATGCATTGGGCCAGCATTGATGCTGAAGTAGAACCCTAATGCTTTATTAATGCAACATTTTGTTTATTGAAATTCATCCTTCTCAGAAATGCCTATGGATACAGGGTCTTGATGAGTGATAGAGTAAGAAAATGGATCTTGGGGCGCCTGGGTGGCTCAGTTGGTTAAGCGACTGCCTTCGGCTCAGGTCATGATCCTGGAGTCCCAGGATCGAGTCCCGCATCGGGCTCCCTGCTCTGCAGGGAGTCTGCTTCTCCCTCTGACCCTCCCCCCTCTCCTGCTCTCTCTCTCTCATTCTCTCTCTCAAATAAAAAAAAAAAAGAAAATGGATCTTTAAGGGGATCTGTATATGGTATAGTATAAGATCTGGTGCTATCAAGACAATAAGGAGAGATGGAAGTTAGACACCAAAGGGGTTGCAGATTAAAGGTATGGACAGCTAGTCTTTAAGGAAACCAAGAGAATGAAGAATAGCCACCTTGCCTCTTGGGTGGTCATAGAAGAAGATGACACTTACTTCTCAGAATCTGAAATGGTATAAGAAACTCTGAGTTTGAGGGATTTTCTTCAGACCACAGACCTTAAAGATGTGATGAGCTAGGCTGTGGGAAGGGTCTGAGTCCATTCACTGGAGTTTCCTTTTCTTCACAGTTTCAGGAGAGAAAGGAGGAATAGGTAAGAGAATGGGATAGTGAGAGGAAATCATAGGAGAGACAGTCTTCCATAGGTGTCCTGTATTTCTACACCTCTTGCTGAGTAGACCAAGAAAGTAAGGCCAAGATCACTTGATACCCAGGCCATTTCTCAGGGCTGTATTTGCAGTGAGCAGCCTTGAGGGGTGAAGTAATGTCTGCTTCTGGGACAAAGTGGAGGCTTGCTTCCAATGGAATGGTGAGTTCCCCAAGCTCCATGTTCCTCACCAATAGTTCCCCCACTGTGTGCAGGCATCCCTCAGGGTCCTCTGTTCCTCTGTGGGATTTGGAGGGCAAGTGACCAATGCCAAATACTAATGCTCATACTGCATGTTTTGCCATGAGTAAAGTCCTTTGTCTCTAACCCAGAGATCTTGTGTCTTCTGTCAGCATCCATGAAATAGTAATGAGCTAATTTACTAGTTAGTAGCTAGGTTAAAATCAAACCTCAGACCTAAAGGAAAGGGATACAATTATTTACAGAAATGTTTAGAAAGAACACGAGTCTTCACCAATGCATTTTCTTTTCCTCTGTCCCTCATGAAGTTGTTCGGTCCTCTTTAAACACCATTCATAAACTCTGAGGTTCTTGGCAATGCTATAGATAGAATTCTTGGACTTCTTAACTTTGACCTCTAAAATCAGTGAACTTCCTGAATTCTTCTGAGGCACATGAAAGACTTGATGAGAGTGCTGATGTGTTTGATACCAGACTGATGGGGTCTTGGAGGTGGTCCAGCCATTCTTGCCTTTAGGCTATACTTAAATCAGGCTGCTTTTCAAATATCTCCACAGAATGAGTGAGTTTAGCTACATTCCCT